GCTTTGAAACTTGATCTCAAGATTTTTGAGGTAGAAATGGGTTAGAACTATCCCCAAATTTCAGTCTGTCTCCTAACTGATTCCAGAGTTAACTCTTCAAGGGGGAGAATGTTACAGACACACCATTAAGGGAAATTTATTTCCTTCTGTAAATGTAATTTCAAGCAAATGTAATTTTTGGCTAGAGCAGAGACCTGACATTCTACCTTGAATGGTCAAACTCCTGGATAAAACACTGTTCAGTAAGACAGAGTCACCAATGACATGCTAAAGAGATGGGAAGAGTATTCCTTTAATGAGATGATGCTCTATTCCCTCCCGGAAACCCTGTCCCCAATGCAGTCACCTCACAGCTTCCCATAGGTCTGTATGATTTTTGAGTCACAATTCAGAAAAACATAACATTTTATTCTTTTTATGCTTTTTTCTTTCTTTGGGCACATGGTGAAGTGTTCAGGTGCCTTCCAGAATATTTTGGGCTTTCTCACTCTTTTTCCAACTTATTTCCCATCCCCACCCCTGACTTTCTGCCATGTGGGTGCTTTTAATGGGCATGGATTTCTCTCTTCCTCTTCTCTCTCTTTTTGTAGAAGCCTGTTAGATATAAGTTTTGCATGACCGAGAGTTTGCCTTTAAAACCATACTAAAATTGTCCTCTCGTTTTTTTCTGAGATATTTCTCAAATTATCTTACTAAAAAGACTAAGAACCCTGAAGGACACCCCAGTTTTCTTAGTATGGTACAAAGTGTAGAACTCCTCAATCTGCCTGTTAATGTACATGAGTAAGATATCACTTACTTATATGCTAATAAATAACATAGCATATATGCTAATAGAAAACTATGAGGAAAAGACTACAAAGATTTTACTGACTATAATGCCAGGGACAAATGCTATCCTGTCTTGAATTCTAGTGAATCTTTTGTTCCTTTGTTTGTGACTGGGTCTCACTATGTGGTCCTGGCTGCTTCAAACTCGCAGACATATCTCAGCCTCTTAATCCCATATACTATGAAGCCTGAATTTACTGGTATTTTCAATAGACTTTCTATTTTCTTTGAAAATGGTCTGCATATAAATAGCATATTATTGAGTTTTTTCCTCTTCTAATCTAGATTATAATCAATGTTTGCAGGTTAAAGAAACAGCAGATCTTGTCAGGAGTCCAATTATGAATGAAATCACATCAGCTCTTCACTGAGCAAAATTTTATAAATTGGATTTTGTTCACACGTCTGCATATGAACTGCATACACGTGTGTATTTTTCCCTGCTGCTACATAGTATGGCACACATATGACAGAGTCTGTGATTCAGGGAGCATGATGGGAAATCTTCCATTAAAAATAACATGTTTGCATGTGAATTGTGCTGGATCCCTTAGTGGGCAAAGTCGGAGGAAACATTCAGGCCAAAAGATTGTATTCTTCTCACATTGTCAAGCTTCTTTTCTCTCTAGAGGAAATGATGCCTGGATAGGAACAAAAGCAGCATGATTGTCATCCCATGTGGTACTACATTTCATAATAAATTGCATATCCTTAATGATTCATTAAAGAAAAATGATCTGAAAATCAGTCGGTGTTACTTCTGATGTTTTCTAGTCCAATCAGTTATAACAAGGGACAGCAAGTTTTCAACAGTTTAGCATTCTCCAACCTCCACATAGGAAGATGTGACAGGACACAGGCAAACCTGCCCCATAACTGCTAACTGTATTTCCTGTTGGGGAAGGTGCACCACACAGCCCAGTAACTTTTCTTTTCCTGTTGAGCAAAAGGTACAGATCAAGATTGGGCCCGAGAAAGAACATTGAGCTAAGAAAAACACCTAACACCATGCTGATCGCCAGCCTACTGAGAGCAGTCATTGCCTCCATCTGTCTTGGTAAGGATGTTCCCAGCACCAGGCAAGCTCTCATCCCAGAACCTTGTTGACAGAAGAGGTTATTTTTCTCTGCTGAGGCTCAAAAAGGAGGGATGATAAGAGCTCTAGATCACAAGCCACCTTACATTCCATTAGCTACAGATAAAGAGTTTGTTTCTATCCTCTTTCCCACAGGAGCCAGCATATCTCAGAAGGTAACTCAGGCTCAGACTGCAATTTCTATCATGGAGAAGAAGAATGTGACATTGGACTGTGTTTATGAAATTCGTGATACTAATTACTACTTATTCTGGTACAAGCAAACCCTAAGTGGGGAAATGGTTTTCCTTGTTCGCCAGGACTCTTACAAAAAGGAAAATGCAACAGAGGGTCGCTATTCTCTGAACTTCCAGAAATCTGCCAGCTACATTGGACTCACCATCACAGCCACATGGGTTCAGGATGCAGCAGTGTATTTCTGTGCTCTGGGGGAGAGCACAGTGAGAGGAGTGTCTACAGGAGTCCCACAAAAACCTCAACAAGAGATAGAGGCCCTGAGGAGACACTCCACCACAGAGAGGAGGAAGCAGGGGCTGTGGCAACACAGGTGGAGTCTGGCAAGAAAACTTAGTTCAATTCCTGTGGAATGCCTGTATCATTTAGCTCCATCATTTAGCAGAAGTATGTATGTATGGTTCATATTCCTTCTTCCTTTCTTTGAGATACATGCCCACCTCTCAGGGGCACTGAGCAGGCATGAGTCAGTTATAAAATGATATTGATATCTGGTAGAATCACTATTAGTGGGAATGATAACTGCCATTTTAAACATGCCTTCTGATATACATTTTCCTTTAAGTAAGAAAAGATTTTCAGATATGATGCAATTTCTACTTTGTTGATTGGCTCCCTTGAACAAAGGTTCTGTCTGTCAAAGTGTCAACCATCCTTTCCTGTGCCAGTACACCCATTTTGAACACTCTACACATGTCTTGAGAAAGCTATACCATGATCTCTGGTGACTGCTCTGCTGTTGAAGGGGAAGCTATCAGAAGTCTTGGTGAAATTGGGGAACGTGAAAACCACTTCTACATAGAGAGGGAGGATTTCATTGCTGCATGAGCTGAGGGGTCCCTGTGGCTGCAGCTAAAGACAATGATTGCAATATGTGAGGTCTGCTGCTGCAATTGGTGTAAATGTTTCTTCCCTGGCTATGTCAGGGGCCTGTTTGGGTCAATTGGTGAGTCAGCTGGAGACAACATTCTGTGTTGCTACTGTCCCTGTTCATATGAAATAAGCCTAAAGAAAGATTTATTTGGGGCTGGATTGAAGGATCAGTGGTTAAAGCCCTTGTTATACAAATATGAGGACCTCATTTAGGATCTCTACATAAGATCCAGATGCAGGAGCACAGGGGTCTGTATCTGATGTTGCTGTTGGGGGATGGGAGGCTGTACAGAATCCACAGAAACCCAAAGGTTAGGTATTTTGGCATACACATCACTATGTATGAGAGAAACCCTATCTCAGAAAAAAAATGTCTTCTTTTTTTTTTTTTTTGTTTTTTAATCATTATTTTTTTATTTTTTTTTCATACAGAAGAATTCATTCCAAAGCAATTGACATTGAGACGTTTTCACATGCATTTCTAATCTCTATATACATGACTATCACTGGTCACAGTCGTCCACCTTTAAGCCAAGTAAAAATGTGAAGAAAGTCAAATTGGGGATTTCAATAGATTTTTAATAGATCTTAAAAAGAGCTTAGTGTTATCTTTTCTTGGAACAATTATAGTTCATGAGGCTTGATGAAAAAGCAAACAAGTGACAATATAGTCAAGATAGGTGAATGGGAAATTCAGCTAAATCTTGTCTGGGCCTAGCTATAAATAAAAGAATTTTGATGAAGCTTCTAAATATTTCAAAAACAATTAAATCTATCTTTAGTAAAGGAGGATAATGAGATAAAATACAAGCACTGCGATTTTTTGCAACACAGTGTATTGTCTTTTTTTACCTATTATTAACAAAATATGGAGCTATTGGTAATGCATTGAGAGAAGTTTTCCATTTAAAAATTAGACATATAAACTCCAGTTATGATTACTGAACACCCATATTATCAGTCACATCAGAATGGTACTTTTAACTATTGAGCAATATTTGGGAAAAATTAAATTATCTCAAGTAAATCTTGATCAGACACATATTTTTCTTTAATGCCAATCTTTGTAATAGTTAGCAAGAATAAATCAGTAACTCCATTGATTTAAGTACAGGTCTGATCAAACTTTTACTACAAACTTAAGATTATATATTATCTCGTTTCATCTTACTTTTCTTTTTTTAATTTAAAAAATTATTGAGAATTTCATACATGCATTTAAGGTGTTTTCATTAAATCCATGCCCACTCCCTTCCCTCCAACTCCTCCCATATCTCCCCACCACTTTTTCCTGACAACTTCGTGTACTGTTAATTTTTTTTAAATGGGGCTTTTTGCTACTCTAACATCCTCCCTGCTGAAGCGGTAACCCTAAAATCATCTTTTAACTATCTAAAATACTATAAATACTATACTCAAACCTTTGTAACATATAAAAAAGACTTTTATTTTCAGTAAATGTAAGGATATAGATTTTGCACATAGAAAGAAATAAAATTAGTCTAGGAATGTGGCAGTCTTGTGGTTTGCACTAAGATCTATGACTTCTCTAGCCATGTGTATTTGACTACAGCACCACACACGAGTTTGTTCCCATTGAATGAACTTTTACCTCGTCCAATTAGGTAGCTCCTATTGTTGAATCCAGATATCCTAATCTTCATACACAAATCTTTCTTTATTAAAAATATTTACATTCTTACATCCTTTTAACTTTTTCTCTTACTGATTGCCTTAATACCATGAGACAGAAAGAACATCAACAAATAAATTTACCATCAGTTGTGAGGACTTTTACGTTGGGATACGAAACAATGTCTATCCCCTCTTAAGTTTCTGGTGACAAAGCAATGTTTGATCCTACCAAAAATGAATAATAAATTGATTGCGCCAATAAAATTTCTTTTGAATTATTGAGAATAAGCCATAATAAAATTTTGACCCGTATAATTAGAATCAGTAATGTCTGAGCAAATAAAACTTTTTTTTATCCAATTTGAATTAAATAAGACTAAATCAAAATACTTTTTAAACCACAGAAATTCCTCTTTTTATTGGTCACGTGACACTTTAAATACTGGCTTGTTGAGTTTCCTGCAACTCTATTCCGCTCTGAGTTAGACATAAAATAGTAAGTTTAGAAATATGATAGTTTTATTTTGTGGGAGAGCTTGAATCATTAAAATATTTCATCAGGCACCTTCGAAATATTGAGAGAAGATTGGTCTTGGTCTGGCGACCCTTCTCATTTGGTTCTCTTAATTTTTTCTTAAGGGAGCTCACCTGCCTCTTACTGTCTTAGGGCATGGCAAATTATACACTTTCCAGCACTTTAACGATTTTGTTAGGAAACCCAGACCATTAGTTGTCACATCCGTAGACAAATATCATTTCTTACTATATGTTAAATATAGATTCTTGTATTTACAGACGAGTATGCCAGTCATCACTCATCAAAGAAGCTCCCTTTGCAACAGATGGAGACTATTACAAAGTTCCACAACTGGTCACACACAGAAATTAAATGCCTGACGCTAAGTGACACATCTACAATGGAACTTCACCGAAGTCTCACAGAATGTAGTGGAACAAGGGGTACAGAGAGCACTAATGCATTTCTCAACTCTCATCAATGAAGCTCCCTCATGTAAGAGAGGGACATGAACACAAAAGGATAAAAATAGCCAAAGAGTAGAGAATAAGAGTCTGTGGAGTGTGGGCCTTTGGACAGGATTCCTGTATTAAACTCCATCCACCCATGCCTCAGGGACCATTGCGGAAGAGGGGGTGGAAAGATTGTAAGACCAAGGGGAAGTGGTGCATGACCATATGGAAACAGATCCTTATAGGCTCCTGGGACCTTGGTCGTATGAATCTGTAGCAATGGTGTAAGTATGCATAAGACTCTTGCAAACCCAAGCAGTCAAAAACCCAGTATAGAACTGGGGAAATGGGCAGCAGGCCCCAATCTTAGTTGAAGAACTAACTATTGACAGCTGATTACTGCTAGGCAAGGGCAAGCTGATTTTCTTTAAGGGAGTGACTACTCAGTAGGCTGACTAAACCCCAGTGGATGAACTTTAACTGAGGGACTCAATAAGCCTTAACATAAATGACAGAATTCATGAAATCTGGCAGGTGTGGGGGATCTATGGGAGTGTGCAGATGGGCGAGTGGGTATAAAGATGATTAAGATGTTTTATATGAAATACACAAAAATTCAATAAAAATCAGACCTTTGGATACTATTCTCCTGGAGATTTCAACACAAATGGAGATCTTTTGCTTAGAAGACAAATGCTCAAAAACAAAAGTATAAAAGGCAGAAGGTTAAAATGTTGAGGATTTTTAAACATACAGTTAAGACTTCAAATTAATTTTTCTGCTGTGCTTCATATAATGGTACATAAAATGGACCCCAGTAATCGTTTTCTAAGGCTTTCACAACATATTGCCACAGGTTGGGTTACTGAAATAACATAAAATTCTTGTGTCTCAGCCTTGCAGGCTGGAAGTCCAAGATTTAGGTATGAGCAGGTCAGCGTTTCCTAAGGCCTGCCTCTGTGGATTGTGGGCCTTCAGTGAGTCCACACAGGGTCTTCTTCAGATGATGCTTGTCTGTACTAGATATCAGCCTTGATGAAGTTGCGTTTACCTGTGTGACTTCGTTTTAACTTAAGTGCTTTCTAAGATCTTATCTTCAAGTAATGTCATGTTCCGAGGTCCTTAGTGTTAGGATTTCAACATATAAATTTGGGGAGGGAAACAAACTTTAAGGAAAATTACATGTAACTAATTTTTTTTCTGTTGCAGCTTTCAATACCCTGCCTGTGTTCTTTACATTTAGTGTTTTTATTATGATATGCCATAGAGAGTTTCTTTTCTGGTCCTGTCTATTTGATGTTCTGTGTGCTTCTTGTATCTGTATGGGTATGTCTCTTCTAAATTTAGGGGCCTTTTGTTCTATAATCCTGTTAGGATCTGGTCTATGCCATTGACCTGGGATTCTTCTCCTTCTTTGTCTATTGTTCCTAGATTTGGTCTTTTCATGGTGTCCCAAAGTTCCTGCATATTCTTTTTCTGTGTTTAAATTTTTAAAAATATTCTTCGGTTGGGTGTTCCATTTCTTCTACTTTATCTCCAGACCTGATTTCCTGTCTGTCTTTATCCATTCTGCTGGCAGCACTTGCCCCTGGGTTTCCTAATTGCGATATTGAGTTTTCAATTCCATCTTCATTTCCACTTGAGTTTTCCTCAGTCCTCTATCTCTTTGCTGAAGTCACTTTTCAAATCCTGAGTTGTCTTTGCCGTTTCGCACAGCCGTATACACTTGAATTTTCTTCAGCTTCACTCGGGTGTTCCGTCCTTGTCATCACCCGCCACGTCCGGCTCTTGCCGTCTTTCCACCCCCTCTTCTGCAGTGCTTCCTGACCTTGGATGGCAGAGGTTGTATATAGGTGTTTCATTCATGGCTAAGCACTCTGCAATCTCTCACTCTCTGCACTTTGACCCCTTGTGGCTTTCTGAATAATTGCCTTTAATGTATGAGTTTATACATACATGTGTACCCAACACTAAGCTCACTTGGAATCACATGTAATTTTGATGATGATAGTCTTTCTCTAATAATCTTCTTTTAGAAGAACTACACAGAAGATAAAGAGAAGTAAGAAAACACCATATAATAAACTAATTATAAAGGAAGGGCCAGTGATGAAAATCGATGAGCTGTTATTGTGATTTGGCTACTTAGTCCTGCATCTCAGTATATGAATTTTCCTCATTTTTAGTTTCCTTTTTCTCTGCTTCGTGCATTTTGATGCTTTCCTTCTGCCCATTTTCCATTTTCTTTTTTGCCTGAATGTTGATTCAGTCCTCTCTCTTCACACCCATCTCTAATTTCCCTGTTGCCTGAGCTAATTCAGCTGAGAAATGTAGTGTCTTCCTCTTGACTCACATCACCTTTCCCTTGATAAAGCTTTATTCTCTTCAGTAATTTATAAAATGGAACATTGGAACACAGGACTGTATTCCTTATAAATACCCTTAAGTTATATATTTGCATTTGTTTATACATAAAGATTATATTCTGTATTGTGTGTAATATATTTTATTTTTTTTATTTTTGAAAATTTCATTCTTGACTGTTGCCTTTGCATTTCTATCCCTTCCAGTCCTCTACCAATGTCCCCCTAATTTATATTAATTTCTTCTCCTCTTCTTTTAATACTACATATGCATACATGTGTTCATAACCATACACAGATAGACACACTCACACATATATAAATGCACACACATACATATGTACATAATGCACTGAGTACATTTAGTGATGCTCATATTTACCCACGTTTAAGCCTGTCAGTCTTGGACTAGATAACCTCTCAGGGAACTAGTCCCTGGAGAAAACTGACTCTCCCTCCCTCAGCATCCATTGATTGCTTATAGCTCTTTATCCTGAGCTGGGACCCAGTGACATTTCCCCCATCCACCTTGGCATGTAAACTGGTTTTGTCATTATGCAGATATTGTTAGACTACCACACTGTGGAGATTTCATTGATGCAGCTTCTCGATCATGCCTGGCACAGGGCATTTGAAGGTCGGAGGACAACTTTCAGGAGTCCATGGTGGGATCCAGGGACTTTAACTCAGGTCAAGAGGCTTGAGCAGCAAGACCTTTTACACACTGAGCCATCTGTCTGTGCCCACCTACTTTTATAAAGTTTTGTCTAATAGCCTTGTATGTCAATATTTTTCAAGGGATCAGCCAGCTCTCAGTTTATGGTCTTCTCAGGGTCCTAGTCTTAGACTATATTTAATATATGTGTACTTTTGTCATCTCTGGATTAAAAACTAATCTTATCCTCTTTTCATTAGTCTTATTAATATACGACTTCAATGAAGTTTGGGATACTTTCTGAATGAAATTCAAGAAACAAATAGCATGAGAATTGCCAACTTAAACATTTGATTACTTGTCATATCATATTCAAAGTGGCTCATCTTTAACTTCTACTGCATCTGGACAATCATGTCATCTGACCATCTGCACTTCTTTCATTGGGCAAAATGGAGTGAAAGGAGCTGGCTTTGTGTGATTTGGGGAGTTAAGAAGCCTGAATCAGCTTTACTGGTAGTGTGAGTCCACTAGGGGGCACTGCAGGCTTCCCAGAAATGACTGAAGCTCTCAGAGGTTGAAGAGCTGAGACCTGGAGACATGAGACACAGTCAACTCTGAGCAAGGATTGGCCATGTTGCTGTGGAGTTCCTTAGCTCTGTTCACTGCGTCCTATGTGACAATCTAAGTGTGGCCTGATCAGTGTCAGTGATGTTTGCCTGATCAGTACAGGGGAAAGGGCTGGGCAGAAGGGGAGAGGTGGGAAATAAATCATGGTGGACACCATATGCATACCCCACTTTTCTTTTAACCAACTAAACTCGTTTGGAGACATTTTCTATGCAGTATGATCTAATTTCAAGAAATTCTTTTACTCCTTAGAACACATTGCGTGCTGACTTTTCAAATCACCTATCAAACCGCACAATATAGGACATGGGGTTACTCTTCCTATGATTTATCAAGACTCTACTTAACCCAGTGAGATCATTAGTTTGCCCCCACAGTGTCATGCATTCCCCGTCCTCACACATTGTCCCGCAAATTCCTCTAATATGAACTGTTACAAGGGGTGAGGGAAAGAACTTCTAATTCTTATACCTTACAAAGATGGTTTGGTAGCTCCCTGCACAGCTGTTATCCACAGTCCTGGAGCAATTACGGTGCAGTCTCATGGTGCTGCGGTAGATAGAGTTTCCTGTGTAGACACATGAAAGGGCTCAGTGATTCACAAGGGAACGTGTTGCCTGTAAGCAGGAGTTTGCCTGTGCCCAAGACTTGAGACTCTTCAGAACTGCAGAGAAGACACCACAGCAACTGTACAGGAGCCATGGAGAGGAGACTGGGAGCTGTGCTGGGCCTTCTATGGGTGCAGGTTTGCTGTGAGTTGTGGTCACCCCGAATGTGGAACGGTGTGATTCAGACCTGTCAGTGGTGGCTGTTCATTCTCACAGGTGTCTCCTGGGATACTTGGAAAGTGTATGTGGAAACTTCTCATGATTGTGTTTTCCTTTCCTCTTTCCAAACAGGGGTGAGAGGGATGCAGGTAGAGCAGAGTCCTTCAGCCCTGAGTCTACAGGAGGGAACTGGATCTACTCTGAGATGCAATTTTTCTACCACCGTGAGGAGTGTGCAGTGGTTCCAACAGAATTCCGGGGGCAGCCTCATCAGTCTGCTTTATGTGGCTGTGGGAGCAAAGGAGAACGGGAGATTAAAGTCAACATTTAATTCTCAGGAGCTCTACACAACCCTGGACATCAGGGATGCCCAGCTGGAAGATTCAGGCACTTACCTCTGTGCAGGGGAGGCACAGTGCTCCCAGCCAATCTGTAGCCTGGCCCCAAACCACACCTGAGGCTGCAGCTGCAGGCCCCATCATGGGAGACCATGCAGCATTTGCACTACTGCGTGCTTCCGCATTCATGCTGTGTCAGCCTCATGTCTCTTAACAGACACTTACAAACTTTTCATTTCACTTAGTTTTTAACTTTTTTTTCTGGAATAACTTTGCATGGGAACATTCTTGGATGGACCACTGGAATAACTGATAAGAACTACAGGGTCACAAATATTGTCACAACACATTCCCTGGAAAGACATATAAATTATTGGGATGAAAAAGGCTTGTAAAATTTGAGAGACAACAAACAAAAAAGAGACAGTTCAATGCCCAAGTTAACTTCAAATGTTAGGATTTAACCAGGGAGAAAATGTTGCGTGTACAATAAAAATGCAGTCACACCATGGCACATAGTGCTGTTTATATTCACATTCTCACTCTTGCAACCAATAACAAATATAATAAGTTGTTACATACATGTTCTCAATACTGATAAAACTTCATTTTTCCATACTAATGTACTCATGATTATATAGCGAAAGGCACTTGTCTCCATTGACATGCTAATTACCTGGCAATGCCGGGGTGAGAGTTCCATTCAGGAAGTTGATAACAAGGCTTGTCCTCTGAGCTGGGCAGTGTAGGACACTCCAGAATCCATTTATGGGATTGGACAATATGTCTGTTTCTATCACTGGCAAGAATGCACATTTTAATCCGGTTCTGTGTAAATATGCCCCCTTAAGGAATAGTTCATGGATCTTTTCCTGTTATTAATGTAAAAATAAAAGATGGAGAAGAAACTGAGACCATGAGAATTAATATGAGGAATATGGGACGGTCCAGTTTCCTGGGCCTGTGATCTGTGGAGTCTCATGGTGTCTGGCTCTGAGTAAGTGACAGACTGGTGTCCAGTTACATACTCTGCTACTGTTGTCTTGAAATTCTTAGCAATTTTTTCTTTGCCTTGTGCTTTGCAAGTGGTAGGCAATAAGAGGTCTGAGCAGAGGAGACACACAGGGCTTCACGAGTGGAACACGTGGAAGCTCAGGTCCCAGGACACAGCAGTGGCCTATGAGCTGAGCAGCTGGCCATCCCAGTTCAAGGCCTGTGCATGGAAGGCTCTCTGGAGCTCTGCAGAGCCTCAAGGTGAGTCGTTATAGCTGCTGGTAGAGGATTACAGCAGGAGAGCAGCACACGGGCAAACAGAGCATTCTGGAGAGAGAGTAGAGCTCTTTGAAAAGTTTAGAATCTTGGAAAATGATACTTCATTGAGAAGTAACTAGCAGACTTTACAATAGCAGTCAAATACAAAGATAGTAGATTGGTGAACGCTGTCCATGTCACTTTTAATGAACCAATTATTAAAAGAAGATAATTTTAATGTTAATTTTCCTTAAAATTTCCCATAGAGTGAAAGCATACACAAACATGAATTCTAAACTATGAATCATCAAGTCACTTTTGGTTTATCAGACATACACCAATTACAAAGAGTGTGTGAGCACATGTTAAAAGACTTCAGACTTAAAATTGAAACTGATCTGATACTGACCTGTATGAGCTCAATTGTCTAAGAAAAATTGTTCCACTACAAACACCAGCTCCAAGTTACTAAAATCTGTATTTCGAACTATTTTTTTCAAATATTCGTGCTAATGTGTCATAAAAATGTAAACACTCTCAAGTTCTCCAGAATCAGTGGGGTCGCTTCTCAAAACCAGTGTTCCAGTTTGCTTTCAATGACCATGTCAAAACACTCTAACCAGTACCAGCTTGGGCAGGAAAGGGTTAATTTGGCTTACATCTCTCAAGTCACAGTTCATCACCCACAGCACAAGGTAGGAACATGGGGTAGGAACCTGGAGGCAGGAGCTGAAGCACAGGTCATAGAGGAACACTGCTTTCTGGCTTGCTCCCCTGGCCCATGCTCAGCCTGGTTCTTATACAGTACAGGACAACATACCCGGGGTGGCCCCGCCAACAGTGGATCAGATCCCACATCACTAACAATCAAGAAAATACCCACAGACATAGCCACAGGCCAGTCCAATAGAGACAGTTTCCCAGTTGAGGGCCCCCTCTACCCAGGTGTGTCAAGCTGACAGCTAAAACTGTCCAGCACAACCGGAATCTGAGAAAAATTGCCATCTTGTGTTTACGGAGAGCACCTGGAAACACGTTCCATTATTTTGCTCAAGAAGAAGGTGCTAAATGAATTAGTTTTCAAAATCAGATAAATCAAATTGTAGGAAGGCAAGCTAAAAAATCTTATGACTAAATCAAAGCATCGTTTTTACAATGTCTTAATATTTGTATATAAATTTTTTACATCATTTTTTCTGTTTGCAAGTTCATTTTGTTACTTATATCACTATTAAAGTTATGTTATATTTTATAATAAGGTGTTTGTAATGAAGATTTATATCAATGAAAGTCATTTTTCTGTATTTTGAGAATGGCAAAATTTGTAATTTTCATAATAGGTTCCACAAAATTTGTAGCTAAACCTGTTGGGAATTTGAACTTGGGAAAGAGGGTATTTAAATTCAGAAAGCAAACAGAATGAGGTTGTCAGTGTGGTTTTTGCTGCGCATATTAGCAAATTTATCTGCCATTTCAGGGTCTCCAAGTAGCAAGATTGTGTGTGTGTGTGTGTGTGTGTGTGTGTGTGTGTGTGTGTAATATAGATATAATAAACAGGCCTCAGGAAGAAGCACTGTCTTATCTGTCTCAGCCACTGGGGCTACCACACATCACCTCAGGTAATGATCTTCATGTTTAGTCAAGTCCTATTTGATTTTATTTGACTCTGAGTTTAGTCTCTCTAATTCACCATCAAGTCTTTTATGTTAGAGCACCCACGGAAACCCAGATAGGAACTTATCTTCTACCTCTGAAGTTGCCCAAGGCACAGTCAAGGAAACAGATGTGGTAGATTGCATCGGGATGTGCAAATGGTCTTGGATTTTAACTATGTGAGACACTTTCTCCCCAGTCTGCATGTAGAGAGCTGTAGACAGCTCTCTACAAATACTGTCTACTAATCAGTAATATAAAAGAGTTTCAAGGCTAGAAGAATTCTTTGAAGTCCTCTTGTACGACTTCATGTTACAAGGCAGAAACTATATGTAAAATACCAGTTTAAACAACTATCTAGTAAATGAGTGTGAGTAGAAAGACACTGGGTTCCAAATTCCTCCTTAGCACTCTGTCTGCACCTCCTTCCTATGGGAACATAGTGCCTCATGGAAACCCATCATTTCAGCTCTGCAGTTTGGGTCTAGGAAGACGTGGTCCAGTAAATTTGACTGCCAGGATAGAGATCTCCAATGTGTGTAAACATGGAGAACTCTGAGAAAGAAAGGGAACTCAGGCTGAACCACTATTATTCCACTAGGAACTCAGGCAACAAATCATTGGACACATTGTGAAAGATCCAAAGGGATGGAGGTGACATCAACACCCAGATGACTTCTAAGAACTCTCCTAAGTGTAGTCATGTTCATGTGTCACTACAGGCAGACATCCCTGAAAGTCAGATACAAAGAGAATCAGCATCACATTCATACTGTCAGCAAAAGAAGGCATTGAAATAAAGGTTTAGGAGAACAGCGTGCTCTTGCACTTGACAGTCCACGAGGTACAGAAAGCCTTTTCCTTGGTGCCATTACTGAAAAGAACAAATATTGACCTCAGTATCTCTCTCCAAGAAAAAGGAGATTTACCCAGAAAATGGGTGAGTAAATACAACTTGATGGTGCAGAAATGTTATACATCTATCTATCTATCTATCTATCTATCTATCTATCTATCTATCTATCTATCTATCTGTCTGTCTGTCTGTCTGTCTTCTATCTATATCTATCATCTATCATTTAGTGTGTCTATCTATCATCTATCTATCAATCATCTATCATCTATCTACCTACCTACCTATCATCTATCTATCATCTATCTATCAATCTATATATCTGTCTATCTATCCGTCTATCTATCTATCTATCTATCTATCTATCTATCTATCTATCTATCTATGTATCTATCTATCTATCTATCTATCTGTCTATCATCTATCTATCATCTATCCATCTATCAATCATCTATCTATCTATCATCTATCTATCTATCATCTATCTACCATCTATCATCAGTCTATCTATCTATCTATCTATCTATCTATCTATCATCTATCTATCATCTATCATCATCTGTATCTATCTATCATCTATCTATCGATCATCTATCATCTATCTACCTACCTACCTATCATCTATCTATCATCTATCTGGGGGTCTCTCCCTCCCCTCATGGGTCATTGGCCACCAGTCCATGAGGGCAAAGGGAGCAGAAGCGACGAATGGGGTCAGGACGGCCAGTGAGCACTGATCATCATCTATCTACCATCTATCAATCATCTATCTATCTATCAATCAATCTATCATCTATCTGTCTATCTGTCTATCTATCATCTATCCATCTATCATCAATCATCTGTCTATCATCTGTCTGTCTATCTACCCATCTATCTATTATCTATCTGTCTGTCTGTCTGTCTATCATCTATCAATCATCTATCATCTATCATCTATCTATCTATCTAATCATCTATCTACCATCTATCAATCATCTATCTACCATCTATCAATCATCTATCTATCTATCTATCTATCTATCTATCTATCATCTATCATCTGTCTATCTGTATCTATCATCTATCTACCTATAAGTTTACATATGTAAATATCTTACATGTATACATACATACTTACTAAACTCAAGTTAATTATAACAACTATTCTCAAATATTTAAGGGTATGGGATATGAATGAGTAATTAGAATGATTCTCTGTAATTTCAAGGGTTTAGTGAGCACAAACATTAGGAAAAGGTCCCTTCTTCTGGAAATGAGGCCATAGTTTTCCGGATTCTGTTTATCATGATCAGGGCTTTAGGACCAATTTTCTG